CAAAGAGTGAAATGGGAGCCCACAGAGTGGGAAAAAATCTTTTGCAACAACACATCAGATAAGGGACTCATTTCTAAAATATATAGGAAACTACAACATCTCTACAAGAAAAAGATAAATAACCCAATTAAAAAATGGGAACAGGACATCAACAGATACTTCACCAAGGAGGAGATCCTGGCAGCCAACAAACATTTGAAGAAATGTTCACGATCACTAGCCATCAGAGAAATGCAAATCAAAATAACAATGAGATATCATCTCACACCAACAGTAACAGCAAAGCTCAAAAAAACAAAGGACAACAAATGCTGGCAAGGATGTGGAAAGACCCTCCTACATTGTTGGTGGGACTGCAAAATCATCCAACCACTCTGGAAAGCAATATTGCGTTTCCTCAGAAGATTGGAAATAGAAATACCTTATGACCCAGGAATTCCTCTACTCGGTATTTACCCACAAGAAATATGAGCCATAACATGAGTAGATATATGCACACCAATGTTCATAGCAGCACTATTTACAAGAGCAAAAAAATGGAGACAACCAAAATGCCCATCAATTGAAGAATGGATAAACAAACTGTGGTACCTGCACACATTGGAATACTATGCTATCTTGAAGAACAAGGAAGCTTCAAGCCATTGCATAACATGGATGAACCTTAAGAACATTATGCTGAGTGAAATTAGTCAGTCACAAAAGGAGACATACTGCAGAAGACCATTATTGTAAAAGACCGAGAAAAAGAACCCACCCAAAAGGGGAAAAAAAAATCTATATATATAATTGCTGATTACCAGTATGTATGATGAGAGGAGGGGAGGGAGGGAGGGGAAGAAAGAGCACAGGGTAGGGAATAGACACAGGAGAACCTGGGTGCTGGGGGAGGGGGGGTCCTGGCAATACAAAAGAAAGGGGCGGGGGGAAAGAAGAACAAGGCAGATGGGAGAATGGTTGGGCAGGTTTGCATGGACTAGGTGAGACAAAGGTAAATGATGATGTATGTTCAACTTTGGGATAACAAGGCTTCAGGATACAGGGATTGATGCATGGCTTGAAAGGGGAAAAGAGGGCATGGTTGTCTTTTGAATCTTGGTTTTCCTTGACTACCATTGTGAAATAGACACTTGGGGGTGGGAATAGTCAGAAACATCACAACAGAAAATATATAAGCCCATCTTCAGCCTATAATGGACTGGAATACTTTGACGGGGACTGGAAACTGCTCAGACCCAAAATGGGAGGACGGGGCCTATAAAGGCAAGAAGTGACTGGCTTACAAGCTTTCAAGAGGGCAGGGGTATTCAGAACCTTCACTGAATGATTTCCAATCTGTTGGGACTGGGGTTGACAAAAGAAAATGGGGAAAAGACTCTTATGGTACAACAGTGAATACCTGCCACCAGGACTGACTGTGAGAGTCAGTAATGTAGAGGTAGATTTTTTTGTGTGTCAAAAGGAAGAGAGTGCCCAGGAGCAGAGATCCCTGGGACCATCAAGCAAGAAGAGTGCAAAGTGTGACCCTACCCATGAGGCTATGAGGTCAGGCATGGAGACAGAGATGATGGAGTGGACAGATGGAGCAGCTGGGGACATGGGACTCAGGGAGGGAAAGGAGGTGTTTGCTGACAGCCGGGGGTGGGGGGGCCTGTGAAGTGTATCCTTTGGTTATTTGATGATGGATGGATGGAATTTTAATCATTGCAATGAAATGAAATACGATAGGATAACTGTGAAACTGAAGTGGGACAGAGGCAAATAACAATGTACGCACAACCTTGGAAAAACAGGGCTCTAGGATACAGCGATTGAGACACGGTTGGAATGGGGAAGAGGGGGAAATAATGTTAAGATGCTTGGCTGTCTTTTGAATCTTGGTTTCCCTTGCGTACCACTATAAAATGGATGCTGGATGGGGAGAGAAAGGAAGAGCCAGAAATATCACCATAGAAAGCTTGTAAGTCCATCTTCTGCCTATAACTGATTGGAGTACCTAAAATGGGGCTACGATGTGTCAGTGAAGGAGGCTTTCTATGGAGCCTCTGCATTACTCAGGACAATAGGTGGAGTCCTGGACAGCATCCAGAATCTTCTGAGGGGAAGTTTCCACTTGAAAGGATGAGCAGACCAGCCTGGAGCGGCCAGTAGAACAGAAGATACTTCTTGAAAGAAAGACTGACAGGAAAAATACAAAACAATATAGGCAGACCAACTGATTACTAAAAGAACAAACAAGTGGCTCACCCAGGAGACATCAAGACAAGTGGTTGGGTCCCCCTCAGGGCAAACCTCCTTCTAAGACTAAGACTCAATGGGAAAACATGCTCTGATTGGTGACCATTTTCATCACCAGTAAGGGAAAGTGAGGGAAAAGCAGCAATGAAGCTGTGAGCTAAGCCTTACAACACTCAATAGACTCCTGTGAACCCGG